AGGAAATCTGGATGTCCCCCGCCTCCGCATCATCCGGCAGGATCTCTTTGTAGCCATAGCTGGCAAGGACGTTGTCATTGGACAACTTGCTCCAGCCGTCGATGGCGGGCATTGCATGCTTTTGGTTCTCCCCTTCCTCGTGTGCCCTGAGCGCCCGGAAGCCTTCTTCGTTGAGTGTGAAGGCCAAATTGCTCCAGACGTCAGTCATGATTGTCCGCAGCTCATCTGAAGCAGTGCCACCGTTTAAGCGGACATCCTTTAAGACGTCTTTGACCAGCTGGAGCTGCATAGGCGAGGTTTGGCATGCGGACTTGCACCACTTCGTCCTAATGCCTTGAGCACACTCAAAAGCCTTTGCATGCTCCTCCAGTCGCACGCACATGTCTTGGGCGGCCTCTTTGTCGCCGGTGCCTGTGAGCAAGACGAGCTGGTGCGGGAAGTCGAAGAACTGCATGCTGCTGAGGCACTTTTGGTAGCAGGCGCAGAAGAACATCTCGCATAGCTGCCGGAAGATGGAGTCTTGTCGAGTGACCAGGGGGTGCTCCTCGCTCAAGTTGTTGTAGAGCATGGAGTGAGCACAATCCTCATGACGCAACAGACCAAGGCGATAGTGGAGGTCGGTGTCGAAGCAGGCGTCGTACATTTCCTCGCAGACTTGGATCCACGCCCCTTCGGCGAAGCTACGCCACATCTGCAAGGAGCCTGCCCTGCCTCGGACCTCCTTTCGCAGCGTGTTCAGTTGCTTGGAGAGCGGAAAAGTGATGGCATGCCAACTGTTGAGGGCGGTCATGAGGTCGCCGTCCATGAGTAGCATGCAAACGACGTGAAACTTGTTTTTGCATCTGGTGTACATTGCACTGGTTTGTGCCTTGGCTTCTTTCATCGTCTTGCTCTCGCCTTCCTTATTCTTGGCCGTTGCTGATGCGGCGGCCGCCTCAGCCAGTGCGACGGCGAAGTCGAGGTTGGAAGACGAGACTTTCAAGATGCCAGCTCGCAGGCAGTATGACAGCATCAGCAAAAGCAGGAGACCGGACTCCTCCCTGCGTGACCTCCAGGCCGAATGAAACTCGTCCCAGCGGGAAAAATTGCCACTGCCGGTGTAGGACCGCAGAAAATCAGCATCCTCAAGCATCTTCAGCAGAAGCTCCGGGGTGCAATCTTCCAGGCTCAGATTTTTTTCCCTGGCCACCCGCGGAGCTACGGCGTTCAGAAGGACAAGACCACCTCCGTCCGAGGAGCATGCAACTGTTCTCGCGAAGTCCAAGGCCTCCTCTTGGAGAAGGCGAAACCATTTGGCACCGCCATAGGGTCCTCGGCAGTAAGACAGTATGGCTTGTGCCATCTTCAGTTTCGCCTGCATGCCCGCAAGGTTGGTGGCGTTCTGAAACTCCCTGTGCAGCTGATGCCTCACATCATACAAGAAGAGCCCGCGAAGGCCAAGCTCATAAAGAAGAAACCATCGCGCAGCTTCCTGCTCTGACCCGTGGTCAGAGGTGACAGCGAGAATGGGCTTCTCCCGAAGGCCAAGACCATCCTGACCTTCTGAGGCCAAGAAGAAGACCAAGCCGGAATCATCATGCATGATGCGAAGGCAATGGTCCAAGGCGAGCAAGGAGTCGTAGGCAGCAGCACGCTCCGGCGGCCCTTTGTAGGTCTTGAAGACGATGTCGCTGTCGTTCGTTGCATCACTTGATTGTCTGATTTGCTCGCCACCTCGGCATGAGAAGTCAGATGCTGAACATCAGAAAGCTTCTTATTATTTAGGAAACAAACGGTCTGATCCCTGCATGCACCAAGCCACGCAGCAAGGCCAAGGCATTCCGGTCCAAGACGGCTGCATCGGACGGGTCTGGTGTGGTTCCGGCCAGTCGGTGGGCACTGTCCTGGTGCACCTGCCACAGCTCTGCAACATTTAAAATTTACATTGCTTAAAATATAGACGTACATTAGATGTAGATATTTGGTATTAATTATATAAGAAGTAGTTGAAGAAAACATGCTTACAGACGAACCCCTAGGTCTTCTTCGTCTTGATCCAGCCTGTGGTGGCCCCCATGCTGCAAGTCCAGAGGTCAGATGAAGGAGTATGTAAGTGGTGCGCTTTCGTCCTCCAATGCGACTGGCATCGAAGGCCATTCCAAGGCGAGATGCGCCATGTAGATGCCTTCGGGCCGCCTGCCAGTACAGGGCTCTCTCCCTGTGTCTGTCTTTCTTCGTCACGAGTCCTTTGAGCTTCGCACGCATCGCTCGCATTCTCGCTTTCTCGCGCGAAGAAAGCTTGAGCGGCGTCTTCTGGCCTCGCAGGAACCTCACGTTCCTCACCCGCAAGGCCATATCTCTGGAGCTCTTGGAACCCAAGCCCAGCTCCAATTGCTGCTCGTCCACTTCTTCGTCTCGCATAAAAGTAGACGAAGAAGCGAAGTCCAAGGCGATCTCGACTCGAGCAGCAAGACGAAGGAGCAGCTGCCGCAGCAGGTCATGATGTCTTTCGACAAGGCGAAGGCAACAGAGGACATCGCAGAGGTTTTGTTCTCTCTCCTTGAACTTTTTCTGGAAAGGGCTTCTCTTGCCTGCCAGACATTGCCGCCAGGAGTCAGACCCCAGCAATTCCCGAAGGTCGATCTGGGCGTCTGCATCCAAGGCGAAGTCGAACTCCACTTCCTGTAGCGACACTGTGAATTCGCAAGGCGAGACAAACTTCAGCAGTGCATGCAAGAAATCTCTTGAAGAGCTTCTCTGCTCTGGTGATTTTCCAGACACAGCAGAGGTCAAAACCACCAGCAGCATCATCTGAGTGGAGCCCGCCACCTGGTGTACTCGGGAATCCGCAGCAGAGGACTCATTCTGGCTGCCCAAGGGAAAAGAAAGTGTTGCTCAGATTCCAAAATCTTCCGGCCCATCTCCAGCCATCCACGTTTTGCCGCCTTACTCACATCCTGCTGCTGCTTGAATTTGCCGAAGCAGGACATAGACCAAAAGTACCGGCAGCCGTGCTCGGGTCTAGGCAGCTGGTACCGCATCAGCCACAATCCACCGTCACGCGGCTCCGGCAGTTCCTGAGATGTCGAGGTTTCAGTTCTGTGCTTATAAAGGAAGACTACCACCGCTGTGTCTCTCTCTGTCTGTCTCTCTCTATGTCTCATCTACATCTGTATAGTCTATACAGATGTGGCCAGCTTTTCTGCGGGGTTGTGAGAACCTGATTTTTGCAGCTAATTCCCCCGTCTGTGTCTCCCGTGCCCTCGCCTTCCTTGCCTTCGCCCTGGCTAAGTTCGATGAGCTTGACTGACATAAGGGCTGAATTGAGCAACCTGTTTCTTGGTTAGATGGACACCGTGTACAGTCGTGAAATCCACGATCGACATCATGCCATGCCTGAAAAACCAGTTCCAGGCAATTTGGTCTGGGCCTCGAGTTTGTCCTTGAGTACAGTTATTCAGCGGCAAGAGCAAAGAAGGCTTGCTCTTGTGCAGAAGGCTTTCTGGACTGGCTGTTGGAGACTCATTTTGGAATGCTGCCCCCGCATTATCTGCAGCTGCTTGTTGCGGTAGCTGAAGCTATTCACCTCGTCCAGTTCATGGATCCGGCCCACTATCGGAGCCTTTCTTATCAGGATAGCCGACCGGAACTGCTGAAGACATTCTTAGACTGATTGGCTGGCTCGGCTTCCAGTTTGTCGAAGTCGCTGAGTGTTGTTGACGACGGGGGACACCCCGGAAAAGTCCTAGACTTCTATCTACATGTGGCTAGTCATAGGCTTTTGACGTCGTCTTCCTCACGCAAGGACCAAAGCCTATATTAGGAGACGTTGATAACAATGAAGTGCTTCGGACTCAAATGGTTTCGGCCCATCCTGGGCGGATATTTCGGGCTTTCCTGGGGAAGGTTGACCACTTTCCTGGAGACCGTTGGTCTCTCAACTTTTTGTGAGGGGTTCAGGCTTTCGTGGGGAGGGTTTGCTTCTTTACGGTCTTTCTTTTGGCAGAGACACACAGCAGCCACAATCTCGAAGTAAATATAAACTATATATATACGTATGTTTACATACTTCTAGACTTTAGGTATGTATGTATTTCATCCATCTTCGAAACCCCTATGTCAAGCAACCCTGTCCGGACGTATGCCGACGGCTGCAAGGGTAAAGAGGAAAATAATCCTCATGCCGGGAAGTTGAGGTCGGGAAGGTCGGGGCTTGTCCTGGGTAAGGTTTGGGGCTGTTTTCATGGCTTTTTTGGCCAGGCTCTAGGTGCCGTTCTCTGTCGATCGGCTGCAGCCTCTGCTTGCAGGCTCTAGTCTTGCTACATGTGATGCTAGGCGTCATGGATTTCTCATAATTAGTTAGGTACTCGGCCCTTACTCGCGAGTTCTCGACCCGATCTCCCGACACGGCTCACCGAAATGCTGCCGAGAGTCTCCCCCGGGTCGCGGATGCAACAGGAACCGCTTCTTGAGGAAATGTTCCAGCCAGACGATGCTGCTGCCGTGCTCCTTGCTAGAACTGACGACGAACTCCCTCTCGCCGTCGCACCAGAGAACCCAAGAAAAAAGCTTGTCGAGCCAGTGCTTCTCACCATTCGTGAGTCTGACAAATCCACGATCTTCGTAAAAACGAATATCACGATAGTTCAAGACAACGTGACGTTCGCCAGTTTTTTTGTGAATCAGCAGCCCCCGGCCATTCTGTTCAGCCACTCGGAAGAGACCTTTCTCGGACACCTTCCGACAGCCAGGGGACAGTCGAGGATCCGGAGGTTGATCATCCATGGCGAGGCAGGAAGGCGAAAGCCGGAAGCCGACGCCCAAATGCTTCAAAGTCTGCTACGCTCTGGGCTCTTCATCGACTAAGAAGTTTGATACATTCAAGACCATAGAGAGTGCTGGCATCTCTTCCGTGGCGACTGCTAAGCGACGACAACTTCCAAGCAGGGTTTCGG